TTTCTTAGTTCAGCAACCACCTAAAGAATCCCTTTTAAGAAAGCTTTGTCGTTAATTGCCTTTTTGACCACTGCATTAATTTTTGTGAGCTCTCTATGAAAAAACGCCAACAACTCTATCTAGATAGGAACATAGCTGTGAGAAGCTCTAGCCTAAACTCAGTAAGAGTTTATAGAACCAGGTTCCCACAGAATAAAGACAAAATTAAAGCTGAACAATGTCTAGATAAATGGAGCTGGCATCCACTCTAATACCACAGGATTGTTCAGGAATCTTTGGTGGTAAACAAGCTGCCAAAATCAGCTTCAACAAGACACTGTTTGCAGTGGTGTGGACCTCTTAATGTTATTTCTGTCATTCCTCAAACTTAGACTTTGTACATCACCAGAAAAACTCCCTTGTCAGTAAGAAAAGCATACAGACAGGCTTCCTCCTATGCAGGAAGTCTGCCATCCAGACGCTTACACACCACTTCTGAGATGTGACGCCTATCCAATAGTACTCGAAAGAACATCCCAGCTGGGATGTTCCACCTTTTCTCTCTTCATAGTTCCTGCCACAGTCTACATTCATTCATGGAGATGAGCAGGCAAGGGCCATTGCCACATTCTCGGGCAATGAACTTCCTTATTGTTCGTCATCATAAATCCATTCTAGATTCTAATTTTAGAAAGAATGAGAAATAAATGTGTGACAAAGAACCAGGAAGAAGAGTAAGGAAAACAACATCTCAAAGAATGATTCCTGTTCCAGTAGTGTAAAGCTTTGCTATCAAGTAAATGAAAGAGTCAAAGTGCCGTGGAGAAAGGCAGCTGAATGAGCTAGAGGTGAATGCCTCCGAGAAGGACGTGGGCAGCAGGAAATGGAAGCTCTGACAGAAGAGAACCTCCAGTGAAGTCTGTCTGAGCTAGCAGGCCATCCCTGAGGCTTGCGTGAAAGCACCCGTGTCTGTCCCCCTTACTGTCTTTAGAAGCAAATTTCATAAACTCAGAAAAGTCCTGTCATGTCTTACGAGCAACCAGAGATTACTAAGAACAATGCTTATATAATCAATGTTTTTCACCTTTAAAACACACTCCCATATTATGATGTCATTTAAGGTGCTTCATAACAAGAGGAGTGGCAATTATTTTCCTTGCTTTGCAAGAGAGTAAACTGATTAGTACAAAGTCAAGAAGCAAGCAGTGGCTGAGTCAGAATCAAATACTTAATACCCTCCCCTCAAAGCCAATCTTCAACCACACTTCTCTAGGAGCTGAGAAAACAGTAGCAGGACTCTGAAAAGCTAGTGCCACAGTGCTGGAAAGGAGAAGGGATGCAATGAGTAAAACTCTTTTAAATGGAACAGCTATTCCACAAAACTGGGATGCCAATAAATAGACATCCCATGAGAGATGGGGACGAAAGACCATTTTGCTATCCTATATAGAGTTCTCGCCTTACCACACAGGCCACTGCTCAAAATGAAAACCGTTCAAACCAGCTATTTCCAGATTTGGGTACCAACTAAGTCTGGGTTGGGGCGATGAATAATAACCCAAGAAATTTGGATCCTGCTGATCTAGGGACCACACAAAAACATTTTCTCTGGTTGTAGGGTGGCTTTTTTTTTTCAAAACAGGAGCTCATGTACCTCAGACTGGCCTTGAATTCTCTGTGTAGCTGAATATTGCCTTGTATTTCTGAATCTCCAGCTTCAACCTCTTTCCTGGGATCAGGGAGTACAGACTTGTTTGTATTACCACACTCAGGTCAAGATTATATTTAAAACCATTAAAATGATTAGAATAAAAAAAACAATTCTTAGGTACAAACCTAGAAGCATACATGAAAGACCTTTATAAATAAGTTACAAAACACTGATGTAATACATCATGTAAAAGTAGTAACAGGAAGATGACCCATGATCCCAGACACAAAAAGTCATCATATTTAAGATAACAGCTTGCCCAGCTGGATTTATAGATTCAGTGTCATGCCAATTAAAATGCTAGCAACTTACTCTGTGGATATTAACAAACTGACCCTACAGTGTATACCTTATTTCAAGGCTTACTACAAAGTTATAGTAATGAAAACAATATGGAACTGGAGAAACAAATAAAAGAATTTGTACATGAAACAGAAATAAAAGAAAGAAAAAGGAAGTATTTGCATTGAGAAAGGATAATCTTTTAAGAAATAGTGCAGGGGCAAAAGCCCATAAGACCTCAGTCCTAGACAAAGAACTACAGGAAACTAAGGAATGCTGAGAAAAAGACAAATAGTCTTCCCCAGGGAAGACCACACCAATTGGTACCAAATGGTCAGCCCTGAAAGCATACATACAAGTAACATTATAGAAACTAAGCAGGTTGAATTTATGAATCTATATTATATTCCTATACATATATGCATAAAAAGACCATTAATTTGAAAGGGAGCAATGGGGGATATATGGGAGGGTTTGGAGGGATGAAAGGGAGGGGGAAATGTTGTAATTGTTATCTCAAAAATTAAAAAATTAAATTATTTTAAATAAGGCTGAGTAAGCCATGAGGAGCAAGCCAGCAATCAGCACTCTTCCATGGCCTCTGCATCAGCTTCTGCCTCCAGTAGCTCACCTGGTTTGAGTTCCTTCCTTGGCTTTCCTTGATGGACTGCGATTTAAGATATGTTAGCCAAATAAACCTTTCCTTGCCCCCAAAATAAACTGTTCTGAACAAGGCAAGATAAAAAGAAATTAAAAGTATACAAATAGTAAAAGAAGTCATACTATTGCCATCTTCATATGATATGATATTATACATTAGATATGTCAAAATTCCACCAGAAAACTTGTAGAAATGATGAACAAACTCAGCAAGATGGAAGAATACAGAATCAGCTGCACAAATGAATGCCTTTTTTATATACCACCAATAAAAATACAGAGAAGATCATGGAACACAATCATCCCATTCACAATAGCCCTAAAGAAAATAAACTAGCTAGGAATAAACCTAACCACGGAGGTGAAGTATCTTTACAATGAAAAGTTTACATTTTTGAAGAAAGAGATGGAAAAAGACACTAGAAAATGGAAAAATACCCTATACTCATAGATTTATATTGTGAAAAAATAACCATTTTACCAAAAGCCATTTGCAGATTCAATGCATAATCCCCAATCAAAATCCTGATCTCGTTTGTCACAGAAATAGAAAAAGTTATCCTGAAATTACTATGGAACCACAAATGACCCCAGACAGTCAAAATAATCCTTAGCAAAAAGAAGAACGCTGGAGAGATTGCCATTCCAGATCTCAAAATATACTACAGGACCACAGTAATAAAAGAACTTATGGCACTGGCAAAAACCAAACATGTAGATCAATGAGACAAAATTGAAGTCCCAAACATGAGTACAGAAAACTTCAGCAACTTAGTATTTGACAAAGGTAGCAAAAACATATGCTGGAAAAAAGGAAAACATCTTCAACAAATGGTACTGGAAAAATTGGAATTCCACATGGCAGAAGAATGAAATTAGACCCGTATCTATCACCTTGTACAAAAAGTAACTCCAAACGGATCCAAGACCTAAACCTAAAACCTCAAATACTGAAACTGCTAGAAGAGAACACCGGCAGTACCTAAATCATATAGGTGTAGGAAAGGACTTCCTGAATAGGGCTCAATTTTTCTAAGAATTAAGGCCAACAATTGACAAGTAGGACATAATAAAACCTAAAAGATTCTGTACAGCTAAAGAAACAACCATCTGGGTGAAGAGGAGGCCCACAGAATTGATTGAAAAGGATCTTTGCCATCTGTATATCTGACAGAGGATTAATATCCAGAATATATTAAGAACTCAAAAAAACAAAGGGTCAAAACCACAAATGGCCCATTCAAACAAAATGATCCTGGGATCTGAACAGAGAGTTCTTAAAAGAAGGGGGGAAATGACTAAAATGATATTTCAAAAGATGGTCATCATCCCCAATAACTAGGGAAATACAAATCCAAACGACTTTCAAGTTCACCTTACCCCAGCCAGAACAGTAAAGAACAGCAAAACAACGAAGAACAAATACTGGGGTGCATGTGGAGAAAATGGGGCCACTAGATACCACATAGTAAAAAGTTAAACTAGAGATCTTGAATCCTTCAAAAAAATTAACTCAAAATGGATCATAGACCTAAAGGTACAAAACTCCTAATAGATATCAGAATAAGTTAGATGACTTTACATTTCATTATTTTTAGACTCCAAAAGCAAGATCTATGAAAGAAAAAAATGGGGGCTAGAGATGGTTCAGCAGTTAAGAGCACTGACTGCTCTTCCAAAGGACTCCAGCTCAAATCCCAGCACATATATGGTGACTTACAACCATATGTAAGTTCAATTCCAGGGGATCCCTCTTCTGTCCTCTGCAAGTATCAGGCATGCATATGAGACACAAACATATATGCATGCAAAACAGCCATACACAAAAAATTAAATATTTTAAAAGAAAAAAAGTTGAATTGAGCTTCAATAAAATTATAGATCTGCTCTGCAAAAGACACTTAGTATGGTTAATTTGCTTGTCTACTTGACTGGATCTGGGATCCAATAAGAGTGTTCTGTGATCATGTCTGTGACAGTATTTCATGGAAGTATTAATGAAATAGAGGAAGACCATCTTCCAAAGTGGTGATCCAGATATAAAGAGGTCTGAGGGAAAAGCAGTGTTGTGTTTTGTCTGCTCACCTTCACTACCTTCTGGTGAACACAAATACTTTGTTGCTATTGTGCCTACCATCCTTTGGTGACATCAGAACCCAGGTTCTTGGCCTTCAGCATGGATTGAAGACCAGAAACTCTCCAGAAATTCTTCAATGCTCTATCGAGACTGCATCTAGCCTCATTGACTGAGCAGCTACTAGGTTCCCAGCCTCTCTGATGTGAACAGAGTCACATACATTCCTTTTAACATATACTCACCCGAATGGTTCTGTTCCTTTACAGAACCTTTACTAATACAGTGACCTACCATCATCATCCTCTCATTTTCTACTTCATTGAGCAATTCAGCAAATTCCTTGAATGATTCCGCTGGTAAGAGAGAATAAAAATAAAGCAAATTAGTAATGAAGGAGGCAAAGATCTATGCAACTTGAAGTAGGAACAAGCGCCTTAATCTCACAGAGACAGTAGAGAATGACATCTAAGGTGAGCAGGAAGACAGGTTAAGTACCTACTGATTATTTCTCTTCTTTTTCTTTCCTTTTCTGCTAATCCCCAACTAGAGAATTATTTCACAATTAACATTGTATTTAATTCTTAGTCACAGATAAGCAAGAAACTAATTTATAAATTTGAAAAAAACATCAGATAGGGTGTGAGATAATAAGGCTTTTAGTTTAATAAACAATATAGAGAAAGAGAAGAAACAAAAATTTTATAGAGAAGTAGGCCTGGATTGGAAGTCTTGTTCCATCACTTTCTTCATGAGTGACTTTGTGTAAATGACTTGACCCTAAGCTTCAGCTGCCATACCTATCAACAGGCATAATCACATCTACTTTAGTGTGTAGTGTATGTAAAATTATGTTGCAAATGTGGAGTATGCATACAAAGTAGATAACACTAACATCTCTCCCCTTCTAAAGCCAATTCTGGCACTTATTGGCAGTGTGACAGCCATTCAATTCTCCGCCCTGGATTGTAATTTCTTCATACACACAAGATAAATTAAATAGCTTTTATTGTGTCTTCAAATTCCCCAACTTCCCACCACAAGCATCAAGTACATTCTCCGAATATATAAAAGCCTGGGCAAACAGTTAGTTAGTTATTAGCTATTTAGTTAGTTAGTTAGCTATTTAGTTTCTCACTATGTAGATGGGGCTGGCTCACTAAGGCTCCTGAGTGCCAGGATTACACACAGTACTGAACTACCATATCTGCCCCCTAAACTGGTGCTTTTTAAGCAAAAAGACTTCTAATAGCTTCCCTCCATAATCTATTGACTATTTCAGAATATGCTATTTAATTTTCACAAAGTTGTAAATTTCAAAACTTGCTGTTATTAGTAACCTACTGTGGTCAGGAAATAAGTTATGATTTTTTATTATTTGCATTTATTGAAGCCTATTTTCTGATTTAACATATGGTCACTTGAAGAATATTCTACATAAGCTTGAAAAAGAATAGCCTCTATACTTGTTGGGTAGAGGACAAAAGAGGGCATCAGATCCCCTGGAATTGGAATTACAGACAACTGTAAGCCACCATATGGGCAATGGTAAAGGAACCCCAGTCCTCTGGAAGAACCACCAGTGCTCTTAATCATGGAGCCATCTGCCAAGCCCTAAGTCCACTTTTCTTAACTGTCTACCATTCCCATATTCCTCTATTCAATTTTATTTAACAAAAATGAACAGACAAGTAACAAAGGTCATTTTTAATCCATAATATGCTAACTGATCCAAGACTTCAAATAGATGCCTTCAATTATTTTCCTTTCTTTTCTTCAATTCACTTACCCTTCGATTCGTTGATCCTTTCTATTCACTGTACAAATCTGGCACGGAGCCACTGTGGTGAATTTTATTTACTGTACACTTTCTTTTAACTTCCCAACTGCAGTTTCCCCTCCCTCCTCTCCTCCCATTCCTTCCCGTCAACCTCCCCTGTGCTCCCCTACCCCCATCCACTCCTCCTCCACTTCAGTTCAGAAAGGGGTGGGCCTCCCATGGGTGTCAACAAAACATGGCATATCTAGTTGTAGTAGGATTAAGTTCCTCCCATTGTATTAAGGCTGGGCAAGGTGATTCAGTATAAGGAGTAAGTTCCCAATAAAATACAGAGTTTTAGCTGTTTCCTTCTAAAATATTTTAAGTCTTTATATTTTCTCTGTTTTGTGAGAAATTGTTCTCATCCACTCCTGTAGCTTTTTTGACACAGATTCCTTAAATTGAATATATTTTAAATATCTAATTAAAAGTATTTGTCAAAGAAATCAATTATTTGAGATTCCCCAGGAACAATTTCTATGAATATTTTTTTCCTTTTGTTAGTGGACTGCTTTTTTGCAATTTCATCCCAGGTGTCATTTTTAATGAATATTTTAAGTAATGCAATGTGGCAATTATAAAAAAAATCAGATCCCCTTCCTTTCCTAGCTTTGCTGCTCTTGTCATGCTATTTATTTAACGACTTCATAAAGACTGTACAATGTCCAGGAAATAACATGAATCCTCTCTTTCCTTTTCAGTAGTAGGGGTTAAATGTAGAACCTCGTGCATGCTAGGTATGATCTACTTCAGTTGAGCTATATCCCCAAACCATTTCTGGCTTTAACAAAAATATGGGCCACATTAAGCAAGCCAGGATGACTTTGTATTCACTTTATATCCCAGACAAGCCTTGAACATGTGATGTGCCTATGACTCCAAGCAGCTTCAACCAGGCCTGCACCACCAGGGCCAGGTAAGAGATTCCTTTAAACCGTTTGAACCAATAAGTCTCTGTGCCTGTGCTGGCTAGTCTTATGTCAGCTTGACACAGAAACTAGAGTTATCTGAAAGGAGGGAACTATAGATGTAACCAACCGTCTTATTAAATAAGAAACAGAAACAATGCAAAAGAGAAAGCCAAGAGGTCAGAGCTCAGAGCTAAAATCTCACCCTTCCGCCTGCGGTGTCCCAGCTTCCCGAATGAGGGTTCTATTTCCTGTCTGTTCGTCTATTTAAAGTATTTTGTTCTGCCTTCTCATTGGTTGTAAACCCAAACACGTGACTGCCTCGTCACTGTCTGAATGTACAGCCCCCTAGGTCTTAAAGGCATATGTCTCCAATGCTGGCTATATCCCTGAACACACAGATATCTATGGGATTAAAGGCGTGTGTCACCACTGCCACACTCTTGCTATGGCTCTAATAGCTCTGACCCCTGGGTAACTTTATTTATTAACATACAATCAAAATCACATTTCAGTACAATTAGATTACCACCACAGGGAACCTCAATTGAAAAAATGGTCCCATAAGGTCCTGCTGTAGGGCATTTTCTTTATTAGTGATTGGTGTGGGATGGCCCAGAACACTGTGGGTGGTGCCACCCCTGGGCTGTTGTCCTGGGATCTATAAGAAAGCAGGCTGAGCAAGCCATGGGGAGCAAGACAGTAAGCAGCACCCTTCGATGGCCTTTGCATCAGCTCCTGCCTCTAGGTTCCTGCCCTGTTTGGGTTCCTGTCCTGACTTTCTTCAATGATGAACAGCAATGTGGAAGTGTAAGCTGAATAAACCCTTTCCTCCTCATCTTGCTTTTTGGTCATGGTGTTTCACTACAGCAATAGAAACCCTAAGAAAAGTTGGTACCAGGAACTTGGGTATTGCTGTGATTTGCCTGACCATGTTTTTGTTTGGAGAAATATGAAACAATTTGGAACTTTGTGCTAGAAAAACAACTGGATACTAAGCAGAGTTTAATGGGACATGCTAGTAAGAGCATAGAAGGCAGTGATGCTGAGGATGATTTGAACTGTGGTCCAGAAGAGATTTCAGAAAAGAATAATATTAGTATGTGGCCTAGACATCATTCTTGTGATAGTTTGGCAAAGAATGTGACTACTTTCTGCCCTTGTCCAGAAGAATCTGTCTGAGGATAAATTGAAGAGTTATGGATTAACAGCTTTGACAGAGGAGATTTCCAGACAGCCAAGTATTGACTGTGTTGATTGGTTATTAGTGGCCATGCTTATGAAGATTTATAATGAAAAGGAAAAAGCTAAGCAAGGAAAAATACAAAATGTACAGTTTGAGGATAAAGGGGGCACCAGGACATGTAAACAGATTAAATAAAAACCTGATGCTAAATGGAATAAAGGAAGTGGTGACCTCAGAGCAAGACTCCACCCAGCTAAGCTTCCAATTTGTGAAAAGGAAGTAAAGAACAGCTTAGGACCAGGAGTGATGGTGCACACCTCTAATCCCAGCACTTGGAAGACAGAAGCTGAGCGATTTCTGAGTTCAAGGTCAGCCTGGTCTATAGAGCAAGTCCCATGACAGCAAGCTTAGGCAGTGAATGAAACCACTCAAAACATAAAGCTGGTGGAAATGTATTTGAACAAGGGGGCCATGTTCCAGTCCCAGCAAGCAGCAGAACTGGGCAGCTTCGGCCAAGTGGTTCTGGTTTTAGAGTCAAGAATACAAGAAAAAACATGGAATATGCTGTGGATATCGTTCTATATTAATAAAACACTGATGGCCAGTGACCAGGCAGGAAGTAGGTGGCCAGGCAGGAAGTAGGTGGGACAAGGAGAGAGGAGAATTCGGGGAAGCGGAAGGCTGAGGGGAAAGACACTGCAGCCACCGCCAGGACAAGCAGCATGTGAAGACGCTGGGAAGCCACCAGCCACGTGGCAAGGTATAGATTTATAAAAATGGGTTAATTTAAGATACAAGAACAGTTAACAAGAAGCCTGCCACGGCCATACAGTTTATAAGTGATATAAGTGTCTGAGTGATTATTTTATAAGTGGATTGTGGGACTGCGGGGCTTGGTGGAGCCTGGAGAGAAGCTCTCCAGCAACAGGAATATCCCTCCATGGCTCAGAAAAGCTTCTGAGGCCAGGCATGTGTGAGGAGTGTCCCTGAATGGAAGTCCAGAGAGACCATTGTGCAAAGCTGTGAAGGTGAAGCCTGGATTGCCTTGGATACCCCAAGACATTGAAGATGCCAGAGCCATGGGATACCTGCCAAGGACAGCTGCTAACAGGGAATGGAACCAGCCCAAGAGAAAGAAGTGTGTTGTAGTCAACAAAGCAGAAAGGAATTGGAGATCTGGAGTCTTTTCACATTAGACATAGAGATACTAAGTTTGGAGTTTGCCCAGCTGGTTTTTGATCTTGCTTTGGTCCAGTATTTCCTTACTATGCTCCCTTCCCTCCCTTTTGGAATGGTTATATAGATCCTGTGCAATTATATGTTGGAAGTATGTGATCTGATTTTGATTTTGATTTTACAGGGGATTGCAGTTATGAAATTGCATGAGTCTCAGAAGAGACTTTGGACTTTGGAATTTTAAACAGTGCTAATACTGTTATAGAC